AAGTTTCATGGGAACACGATCGTCACCACCTGACACAGCGGGGTGCGGATTAACTTGTTTGTGCAGCACCAAGCTATTCCTCCAGAACCCCCGCTCCCTGCTCACCCTCGGCCTGTGGCCTGCGTCCAGGAGCTGCCCTTTAGAAAGGTCAGGACTGGTCAACTCATCTTCCTTGCCAACTGGTAGAAATGCACCCCGCCCAGCTCCGGAGCGTGCCCTGGGCCTGGGAGTCTCAGTAGGTGGGGCGTGAGTCACAGGGGAGGCCAGAGGGTTGGCCCGTTGTCCTGAGACCCGGTCTAGAAGCGCCCGTGGTTGTCACAGTGTGTGGTGCTCATCTTGTCGCAGTGCTGGCTAGAGGCACCCGCTGGTGGCCCAGCTCAGGGAGTCCCTGGGGAAACCCCCAGTGGGGAACCTGGGCTTCCTTTCTCCGCTGTGGACAGTCTTCCTTTCTACTCACTGTGGGCACTAGATGGAATTGCTGGCATTATATGTGACGTTATTTCTGAGCAAGGTGCACGGGGATGTGTTCGCTTCTTCCAAGGAGCAGATTGCATAACTGCGATGTGGAAGGGAGGAGGGGTGGTTACGCCTGATCTGAAGATGGCGCTTGCCTGCTTGATGGTATCTGGCTCTATAAATAGATTAGGTAGGATCCTGTCCATGGGTGTCTGGCTGTGAGAGAATCGGGCACAGTTAGATGTCAACCTCAGCCCGGCCAGTGTCCCTGCCGCTCTCCCAGGTGGCATTGCTGTGGCCAGGCCTCCGTGGCTTTGGGCTGTGGGTGGGAAGAAGCGGCTGCTTCCTGGGACTTGGGCTCCAGAAAGGAAGGAGCAGGCAGCGTGGCACCGCCTCAGCTCCCCTCCCTTCCACCAGTTGCTCGGCTGCACTTACCAGGCCTGGGCTGCAGGTGGCAGGCGGTCTCTGTGGTCCTCCGGGCCCTGCAGGAGCTCATCCTACCTCAGCGCTAGGGAGTGAGTCCCACAGACACTATCAGGCTGAAGGGTCAAGACAGCGCTGCTCAGACCTGACCTTGCAAAGAAAGGGGACCAGCAGGAGAGACCATGGTCATGGCCGTAGATGCTTCTTAGGAGCTTGAAAATGTCAGTGACATCTTGAGTCAAATGTAATCATCATCAGGAGAAATAGCCCATGTGGAAACCCCAAAAGGCTTCATAATTTAGATTGATAAAATGACATTCTTTAAAAAAAAAAAAAAAATGACAGATTTTATCATAATGCATGACGGTGCAAATATCCATCCATCTGATCATCAATCTGTTCGCTCTGGCCGCTCAGCTAGTAACCCACTCTCCTCGCCCCGCCTGTGCTCTGCTGCGAGTTTCTGTCTCTCATCCTCCCTTTGCATTCTCCCTCAGACAAATCCCCAAAGGACACTCCCCTCCGCATGGCCTCGGAATCCCCCTTTCCCAGCGCCCAGGTAACCCAGAGCCACACCGCCCCTGACTGAGCGGCTGGGCAGGGCAGCCCGGGAAAGCTGAGCTGTCAGATATGCAGGTGACGAACGCCAGAGGGGCGTGTGTGTCACTCGAAGGCGCTGACACAGGCAAATCCGATCTGGGCAGGCAGATGCTTCACCACATACGGCCAGTGGAATGTGTCCCCGCCAGAGTCACCGCTGCTCGCACAGTTGGCATCGCGGAGTCCAGGGCTCCAGTCGCTCAGGACCACAGTGTTCAGTTCTGCTGTGGCTAAAAGGGTCTCCCCCCTGAGAAAACCAAAGGACAACGTGAGCTGGGGAGCAATCACTTTCCTTGCCGTAGTGCAGAGTAAGGGCTACAGTCGTTTGGAAGCCAGCGGACTCCTCGCGGGAGATGTGGGTGGTTTCTCACAGGAAAGCAGGCTTCTGGATCAGCCTGGGAGACGAGGGGCGGCCCAAGACAGGAGGAAAACATGGGCGGTGCTGAGGGCGGGATGGAGGCAAGCAGAGGACATGTCAGGACAGGAGCAGAACACTGGGGGACGGGCTGCAGGTGCCAGCGATGGGATCGGGACTTGAGTTTCTCTATAGTCGAGCCAGTTCCAAATTCTAAGGAGTGAGGAATAAAATGTTTTAGGAAGACTAATTTGGTGCTCATTTTCAGAGAGGCTAATTAGAGGATACTAAAGAACATCCAATTAAATAAATAAAAACTATTTTTTTAAAAAAGCATTATGAGATGTAAATGAACCAATTCACTTTCTTATTGTTAAAGCATCTTGCAGATTCCATGCAGGGTGACTGGAATGTTACAAACAGAACCCTTTCAGAAATAGAACAGAACACAGAGGGCGCCTCTGGGGAGAAAGGGGGATGTTTGCTTTATACATACATAAGCTTTAGGGACCATCAGCATGAAGTGCTCTGGAGAAAAATGGAGATGTCAGAGTTTACTCTTCTTATGACTCTTGTTCTTAACTGATATTTCTATGAGGTGATGATGGAAACTCATTGGTGTAAGCCTCAAATGTATTTTTATTTTTTAATTTATTATATCTTCGATGTGGAAAGTATTACAGATGTCCCTTTTTCTCCATCCCATTGACCCCCTCTACCCTACACTGCCCCGCCCCAGGCCTTTCCCACACCATGGTCTGTGTCAGGGCTTATCATATATGCATACAAGTTCCTTGTTAATCCTTCCTGCCCCCCCCCCCCCCCCCCCGCCTTCCTTCTGAGATGAGTCAGTCTGTTCCAGGCTTCTCTATCTCTGGATCCACTCCGTTCTTCCATTTACTTTGTTCATTAGATCCCACATCGGAGTGAGATCGTGTGGTACTTGTCTTTCTCTGAGTGGCTTATTTCACTTAACCTAATGCTCTCCGGGTCCCTCCATGCTGTCTCAAAGGGTAAGAGATCCTTCGTTTTTACTGCTGCACAGTATTCCATGGTGTGAATGTACCACAGCTTTTTTACCCACTCGTCTGCTGACGGGCACTTAGGCTGTGTCCAAGTCTTAGCTATTGTAAATTGCACTGCTATGAACATCAGGGTGCATATATCTTTTCGGATTAGTATTTGGGGTTTTTTAGGATATATTCCTAGAAGTAGGATCAGTGGGCCAAATGGAAGTCTCATTTTTTATTTTTTGAGGGGAAAGAAGTTATGATTACTGATGTTACTCTGATGGTGAGGGTGGAAACTCAGTGGTATAAGCGTCAAGTTTAAAATCCTATCCACCTTGGTTCTATTCATCCAGACTCCTCAATCTCGGAAAGCCTCTGCTGACTGGAAGGCAGGTGGGAGGCGGGGGAGGGGGCAGAAGCATCACCACGTCCTCACAATGGCTGCCACACGGTGGGTGCTGATGAGCGAAGCGGTTGCTGCAAGAAGGTCTAATGGGCATCCAACAAGAAGCCTCATGGGTGTTGTTCCTTTGCCCACAACTTAGTGTGCTCTGAGCTGAGGAAACGGACTAGTACTAACTGAGCCAGCAGGAGACTGAAGTCTGATTCAGGAGCAGTGACTCTGCCTCCTGCAGTTCTCTCTCTAGCCCAGCGGTTCTCAACCTTCCTCATGCCCCGGGCCCCAGGTTGAGAACCGCTGCTGTGGAGCCTGAGGCCATCAGAAAACACAGAGATTTACATTACAATTCATAACAGGAGCCAAATTACAGTTATGAAGTAGCAACGAAAATGATTTTGTGGTAGGGGGTCACCACAACAGGAGGAACTGGATTAAAGGGTCGCGGCGTTAGGAAGGTTGAGAACCACTGCTCTAGCCCAAACAGGCATTAGGGTGGCCTGGGACAGGGGAAGGGAACGGATAGGTAGGGAGGGTATTTACTGACCGGACACCTGCCTAGGCTCACAGAGCCTGCGTCTGCTTACTGAGCAGCCACGCCCACCACCCCTGATGCCTTCTCACCTCCATGTCATGAGATGAGCCTTTGTTTGTTTTTCCTTTCCTTTGCTACGCTCTAGCTCAGTGCTCCCCAAGTACCGTTACTGCCTGTGGAGCAACTGGGGAGCTTGTCTAAAACAGAGTTGGGTGCCCTAGCCCCAGATCCCTTTCGGAGTGCCCACCCTGAGGCCTGGGAGCCTGGACTGAGGGCGAGCCTGCAGGGGTTCCGAGGCAGCACTGAGTGACTTTGAACCAGTCTGATTGGCCACAGGTGAGGCTCCAGCCCACCACGCCCACTTTTCCACCTCCACCCGTGCCTGTTTATCTGCCTCCCTTCTACCAAAGACTTGTTTGCATATAGATTTTCAGCACCTTAACAAGAATTAGTAAATTATCTCTCTGAGTTAATCTTGACATTTGATTAACACTGTTGGTCTTTGACAAGGTCATACAACAATTGTGCCGAAGCCCATCGCTACGTTATAATCACATTTACTCCTTCGCCAGTTGTTTCTTGGTCACCGGCTACGTGCCAGGCACTGTGCTAGGGACCCGGGAGCCAACAGAGAGCGAGAATGATAAGACCTCTGTCGAGTATTCTAGTGCCAGAGAGGTGAGGGGGAGTGGGGAAAGGCAGTCTGGAAGTAAATGGAATTATTTCACATTTCATCAGTGCTGTGAGGGCAGAAGCAGAATTCTGAGGGAGCCAATCTTAGCGGGGAACATGCTGGAGGCAAGCTGAGCTGGAAACACCTCCTTATACAGGTGACTTGCTAAGTGCTGAAGGGAAAGAGCCAGGTCTGCTGGCAGCTGAGAGCTTGGACACCATCATGAAACGTGGGCTTAGAACTGCAGAAATGGGAGTCACAATGGTTAGCCGGTGGCGGTCAGGAGATGGTCGGGATGGTGCAGGCTCTGGCCATGGCATGGCCCCTGTGAAGTAGAGAGCACAGCTGTGAAAGGAGAAGTGGTCAAGGAACCGAGAGTTTATTGGGGCTCAGAGTTGCTGCACACACTGATGAAAGTGGGGTGAAGGTGCAAAATCTGAGCGATTTTGGTTCTATCCCTAAAAATATTTTAAAATAAATATGTTAATTTTCTTTTCACTATACCCACATTTGTGAATGTGCTTTCCATGTTTCTTCTCTATTTTAACAGAACCTCGAGTTCCACATGCCTGAGGGTTCCAAGGAAAAAAAGGAAAATCCTGAGAGGTTTAGTAGGGTCTTGAGGGAGACAAGGCCCTCACAAGGAGAAGGTCAACCTTTGGGCAAGACCACAGAGTCAGCCATTAAGTTGGTCAAAAAACATCCAGGAGCTAAGAACCTTTCCAAGAAGTCCAGAGGAATGAGTTTGCCCCCGGACACACGCCCTCTAAACAAAAGCTTAGTCCAGGACAACAAATGGAGGAGGGCGGATGCCACCCAAGAGAGACGCAGGTCTTTCCTGCAGGAGTTCTGCAAGAACTATGGTGGGGCGAGTCACCCCCAGACGCATCTCTTCCACATGGTGTCCAGGATCTACGTGGAAGATAAGCACAAGGTCTTATACTGCGAAGTTCCGAAGGCTGGCTGCTCCAATTGGAAAAGAATCCTGATGGTACTGAACGGGTTGGCTCCCTCGGCACACAACATCTCCCATGACGCTGTCCATTACGGGAAGCATTTGAAAAAGCTGGACAGCTTTGACCTGAAAGGGATATACACTCGTTTGAATACCTACACCAAGGCGGTGTTTGTTCGTGACCCCATGGAAAGATTAGTGTCAGCCTTTCGCGACAAATTCGAACACCCCAATAGTTACTACCACCCGGTATTTGGGAAAGCAATTATAAAGAAATATCGGCCGAATGCCTGTGAGAAGGCCTTAAATAATGGATCCGGAGTCAAATTCAAGGAGTTCGTTCACTATTTACTGGACTCTCACCGCCCGGTCGGGATGGACATTCACTGGGAGAAGGTCAGCAAGCTCTGCTACCCGTGTCTGATCAACTACGACTTTGTGGGGAAGTTTGAGACTTTGGAAGAAGACGCCAATTACTTCCTACAGCTGATCGGCGCCCCCAAAGAGCTGAGATTCCCCAACTTCAAGGACAGGCACTCCTCCGACGAGAGGACCAGCGCTCAGGTCGTGGAGCAGTACCTAACAGGTCTGACCAGAACTGAGAGACAGCTCGTCTATGACTTCTATCGCTTGGACTACTTGATGTTTAATTACACCACTCCGTTTTTGTAGTTTGCCTTTTTGTTCTAAAGCACTGTATTTACTTCATGGTGACGACCTTGAATCAGCTAACTGTAATTTTCCTCTAATTCTCCGTCGGGGAGAGATTTGACTAAATGCAGTTGCCTTGATTTAATGAAGACTTTTACAAAATAGTATGACACCAATTATCACAAAGTTACAGGAAAATTACCTAACAGAGACATGTAAACAACTCGAGTTACTCTAGAATGCTCGGGAAAGAGCTGCCTTTGCATTATGGGTCACATTCTAGAAGCTGCAACTCAGCCAGCTGCCCCATGCGCTGCAGCAGCGCCCACCACGACGGGAAGAGGGATCTGAAACAGCGAGTGGCTGTCTCCACCCTGGATTGGCTGCAGGGATGCATTTCCAGCAGTCTGCGGCATGTGCATCAAGCCCAGGCAAGTTCTCTCCTACCCTGGAAATCTTTCTTATCAACTGCAATGATGCATTGATTTTGAAATGGCATTTGGGGCCCGGGCGTTTTACTTCGGGTTGGGAGGCACTGTGTGATTTACAACGTGAGAGAGCACAGCAGACACACCAGATGAGGCTCTGGCTTTCTATACTCAACGGCCAATAAAAAATGCACAACATGCTCAGATCAAAGCAGAAAAAAAAAAACCTTCCTCTTCCAGGGAAACATAAGGGAACGGATTCCGTTTTCTCTGGAGTCTCTGCGCAGAGACGCAATGAGCACAACCATCGGAGGCCTTTGCTCTGAAGCAGGCGGCTGAGTTTAAGCCTCGGTAGAGAGAAATGTGCTCCTAATTCTGGCTTAATTGGGTGTTTGGGGGGGACGGGGGGGGGACGGGTTCAGGCTGGAAGAATTGTCAGAAAACAAAAGCTGCCACTCTGACGCCAAGCAAGAAGGAAGTCTTACAAGAACATGATTGGAGGCGAAGCATCGTGTGCAGAGCGTTCTGTGTGGAATGAACTCTGTGAATAGCTTTTGTTTTCGGTCTAATTTTTCAGCCTGGGAATGACTCCCCAAAAATGCACACACCACTTCAAAGACGGGGTATGTTCTAGAGAATCCACGGTACAGGCGCCCCTAGGAACGTTTGAATAGGCTTTTGCATAAACCAATGAAGGTGTTTGTTTGTTTTTTTGTTATTGTTTAGGTTTAAAAGTTCTGAACTAATAAAGTCAATACTATTGCATTCACATATAAATCAGAGTCTTGGGGAAAACGAGACATGTGTTGCCCTGTGAGCAGCCCTAATGCCTTTTGGACATTCTTTCCAGGAGACTCTGAGGTAGAAGACATTTGAGTGGGCACTTCATGTTCACTGGTCAGCTGTTACCCTGAGCTGAACCGCATGTCATTCACATCTCCTTTAAGTCAGGTTGCTTTTCCCATACTATCCTTTCTGGCAGTAAACACTCAGAAATGTCTTTCAAACAAAAGCTAGTAGTCATATTTGAATATAATAGACCGAGACCATTACAAATGCCCCTATTTCCGCCCCCCTGATTCTGCTTATCAATTTCTCAGAAAGTGGTGCCTGGGCCATCGCCATGACAGGGACCCGGATGTTTGTTGAAAACCAGTGTCCATGCCACACCCAAGGGTGCTGAGTCTGAAGCCCTGTGCAGCCCGGCGGGGACTCTCTCTCCTAACTATCCCGGGGTGAGGCCTGCATAGGCCACGTCTGAGCACCGTTGATGCCTGTGGGTTTGTTTTGTTTATTGTTGTTGTTGTTTTTTGTCCTGGCCAATGACAAGCGAGGACAGGCCACCACCTTCACTCTGCTGTTTGCTGAGAAGGTAAGGACCCTCAGCTCAGAGACGGGCCTGGGTGTGGGTCGCAGCAGCCACGGGGACTCTGCCCAGCGCTGGGGCAGAAGCTGGGCCTCGGCGGCCCACCAAGCCAGGAACTGGAGCGGGAATGGGACAACGGGAGCCCTGGGGACAGGCTGGGCGCTGCCCAAGCCTTCTGGAGGCCTTCCCCATGGCAGGGGGCGTGGAAATGTTCCCCTTTTGAGCACAAAAGACTGAAGGCCTCGCTGTGCCAAAGGCAGTTCTGGCCACTCAGCTTCAGGCCTCCCCGTGGACAAGTCGAAGGCCCACAAAAAACAAAAGCCATTTTTCAAGTTGACCTGAGATGATGGGAAAGGGGAGAAGATCTCCTGTTTGGGTAATTAGTGAGAAAGCAAGTCCCCGAGAAATACTTGGCAGTTCCGCCTCAGTGGTAGGAATGTGCCTTTCCTTGGACTTGAAGGAAGGGTTGTCTGTTCTTGCCAATCTGTGAGTTGAGGCGCCTGGCATGGCCAGCCTGTCCGTGATGCACACACAGCCCTTTCATTGGGGGAAGCAGGCCCTCGGCCCCCAGTTCCCGCCACAGAGCTGTGCCCCGTGCTACCAGGGTGGCGCACCCACCTACCCCCGTCTATGTCCCCAACATCTCCTGATCCTTACACTCACCCAGTGAGGCATTCCCGGTGTTGGTGTGGCTCAGATGGGACGCCCCACTGGGAACACCACGTGCTCCTGAGAAGCAGTGTATACCATGGTGGTCAAGAGCTTGGTGCTTGTAAGAACCGGGTTTGAATTCCATATTTTCAATTTTGCAACCTCCCCAATTTACTTAACTTCTCTGAGTGCTGGTTTTCTCGTCTCAAAAACTGGGACAGCAATACCTACCTTGTACATTTATTGGGAGGAACAAATGGGAAAATGTTTGTAAAGTGGTTAGCAAGTGCTTAATAAATTATAACAACTGTTATTATGTATATTTCTACCTTTATATCTATACGTTCTAGTTATTTGTGTATGTGTGTGGCTCTCCCAGAAGACTGGATTCTTGTCTTACTCATCTCGGTAGCCCTGGAGAAGGCACTGGTTCAATGTCTGTGGAAGAAATAAATCCCGTGCACCCACCCCAGTGCTCCTGGAGCACTGTGACCTTCCCCGAAGACTCCTGCCCACGTGTCTTATGTGTGATAACAACACAAAACCGTGTCTTCGCTTTTCTGTTAGATTCTAAGATACCTGAGGGTAGAAACAATAAATGCACATCTAATTGAATTTCAGACTTGCAAGTATTGATCTTTTTAATAAGCTAATGGTTTAGAATAGCGGGCTTCTTAACCACAACACAGAAACAAATAACAAAAGCCCACTTCCTCATTGACCTTCAGACTCTTTCTCCCGTTAGCTATGCACCCTGACCAGGCTAAGCTTTTTTTTAATGCTTTCCCAAGGACATGGTTTTATTTGTTTTAGAGACAGCAGAAGGGGAAGAGGGAGAGAGAGAGAGAAACTTGATTGGTTGCCTCCCACATTCACCCCAACTGGGGATCAAACCTGCAACCTAGGTATGTGCCCGGACCAGGGATCAAACCCACAACCATTTTGGCATGGGAGACGATGCTCCAACCAACTGAGCCACCCGGCCAGGGCCAGGCTGAGCTCTTATGTCCTCAAATAAGCTGCACTTTGTCCTGCCCTGGAGTCTTTCCTCGGGCCAATCTAATCCCTCGTCAGTCTTCAGAAAACCCTCTCCCCACCCCAGACCGGGTCCAGTCATTCCCCAAAGCTGTGTGTTCCCACTGGAAAGTGAGAACGTCAGCCAGCAAACTTATGGTAAGCAACAGTGACCAGTGACAGATGCATATCACCTCCTCAATGCATGCTCTATACCAAGGTCAAGGCCCTGAATGAAAGGGAGAGGGACACTGAAGTCTGGATGGGGGTCCTTTTGTTGGAAGATTCTGAGAACTTGAACACCCATGCTCCTTGCCAGAGGTGAACAGCCTCGCCTGCTATGAAGACCAGACACCCACATCCTGAGGCAGGGGTATGGCGATGCTCATTTTCCCCACCATCACCCCCATTCCTTCTGAGCTGGTCATCAGGGCTAGCCCGGCCCGGCCCAGCAGGAGAAATTCCGGAATAAAATAGTTTGTGTGTCAAAAGCATCGTAGGACCTCACCCCTACATCTCAGCCGGAATCGAGGACACCTGAAAGGGAAAGTTGAGGGCATTGGAGAGGTGGGGACAAGGGGAACTCTGAGGCTGGGTAGGGCACAATGTATGGTCATGGTGGTGGCACTTGCCCATGCTGTTCTGGCAAAGAGCTCTCCTAACGGCTGGGATGGCTCCTTGAATCCTGGATATGGTGGTGGCCCACAGAAAATGAGGTGGAGCTTCCAGAATGTTTTGGCCTGGTGCTGAAGAAGGTTTCACAGTCTCAGGATGGCCCTGGCTGGATGGCTCGGTTGGTTAGAATGTCATCCCATACACCAAAAGGTTGCGGGTTCGATTCAAGGTCAGGGCACATGCGTAAGTTGTGGGTTCATTGCCCCAGTCAGGGCACGTACTTTATTTAGTCAGACTAAATAAAACCCACCTATAAAAGGTAATAGTCTATTTGTATATTTCATAGACATGTCTGAAAGCCTTTTTATATACCTTAAAGTTGAAATGGAACCTAAGATGCTCTTTCCAAAAGTGAATCATACTTTCTTCTTTCTGATTAATTAGTGATACAAACTCAGAAAAAATATACAACTACTGAGCTCTCTTAAGGGTAATTCATATTATTCTAACTTTGTTCATATTGATTTATTTTTTTGTATATCCCCGTCACATTTAATTTAAATTTAAAAGATTCCTCTAGCTCCTCCCTCTTTGCATCTGTGAATTCTGTAGGAGGTAGGCATATGAATAAGATTCTGTACTGAAGGTCACATAATTGAGAAGAGAGAAACACAAATCTTCAAAGACTCAGAGTGTGAGCAATGCTACACAGTAGCGTTAAAGAACATTTGATGGTCACTTGGCGGAAGGCGCGATGACATCCCTGCATGGAGAGACTCGGGGGTAACGTGTCAAGAACATGGCCTTTGAGCTTCTTCCTAGAATTGGGTTCATACTTCCTGTTCTTCAGGGGAAGTGGACCTGACCTTATCCAGTCTGCGAGCCCAGGTGCTGACCTGCAGAAGAAGAGACGGTCCTGGGAGGCAGGGAGCAGACAGGACAGGCAGCGGAGTGTTCGGGAGGAAGCACAGAGGCCCAGAGTGAGGAGCCGTTCAGAGTGGCTGGAGGCCAGTGGGAACCTTCTTCAGCACCAGGCCAAAACATTCAGAGAGAAGAGAGGTTGGCTAAGGAGGAGGGTTAGGGAACTGGGCTTTATTTATTTATTTATTTATTTATTTATTTATTTTGAAAGTAAAATAGTCTTCTTTTTTTAATATTTTTTGTCTGTTTTTTACATTAAATCTTTATGGTTGAAAATATTACATAAGCCAAGACTGGTTTGGCTCAATGGATGGAGCATCAGCTTAGGGACTGAAAGGTCCCGGGTTCGATTCCGGTCAAGGGCATGTACCTTGGTTGCGCGCATATCCCCAGTAGGGGGTGTGCAAGAGGCAGCTAGTTGATGTCTATCTCTCATCGATGTTTCTAACTCTCTATCTCTCTCCCTTCCTCTCTGTAAAAAATCAATAAAATATATTTTAAAAAAAAAGAAAATATTACGTAAGTTCCTTTTTTCCCCATTGACCCCATTAGCCCACCCTCACCTCCTACACAGTATCCCAGGCCTTCAGCATCCTATTGTCTGTGCCCATGGGTTATGTATATATGCTTACAGGTCCTTTGGTTGATCTCTTCCCACCCACTCACCTTCCCCTGCCTCCCCTCTGAGGTTCCGCACTGTGTTCCATGCTTCTATGTCTCTGGATCCACTCTGTTCATCATTTTATTTTGTTCATGAGACTCCACATATAAGTGTGATCATGTGATCTTTCTCTGCCTGGCTTATTTCACTTAGCATGATAGTCTCAGATCCCTCCATGCTGTCTCAAAGGGTAAGAGAGCCTTCTTTTTGACAGCTGCATCGTATTCCATGGTGTGGATGTCCCACTGCTTTTGTACCCACTTGCCTACTAATCAGCCCTTAGGCTGCCTCCAGGTCTTGGCTATTATAAATGGCACTGCTATGAGCATAGGGTGCGTGATTGCTTCTGACTGATGCTTCGGGCCTCTGAGGAGCTGGTGCTGTGCTTGGTGATCCACAGAGGGGCTGGGATGATGGCGTTGGATGCAGTGCCCCGGGAAGAGCTCTCTGGCAGTTGCATGGAGAGAGGGGGAACCACGGTGAACTAGAAGATGCTCCCGGCTGGGAATCGGGGCCCGGGCCCAACTCTAACCTGCGCCTCCTTTGGACAAGTCGCTTCCTCCCGGGATGGCGCTTGTCTCCTGTGAAGAAGCAAGAGCCGACTCCCTCTTCGCTCTGAAAAGGGAAGACCAATCCTAAGAGGCTTCGCAAAACCGACACGTTAGACTCTTACATGTGGTTTTGTTTCATTACAGGGAAATTAAAGATGTGATTAAAAGAAAGCATTCCTTTCTGATATTCTGTAATCACATGGGATGTCTTTCATCAGAGGGAAGTCCCGACGGCTCAACCTCACGTGAGCTCCCTAAGAAGTTTTAATAGCAGCAATGCCTCCTTTTATCACACGTTTTTAAACAATTAGGATGTGTTGGAAGTTACAGAATGGTGAGCGGGCGAGCAGACCTGCGAGAGAGAACCTGAGACCGCCCCAGGCTCCGGGGACAGCATGGAAGCTGTGAGTCCCTGTCCCCTCTGTCCCAGGGCCAGGTGGAAAGGCCATGGTCAGGCGACAGACCCCCAGGGGCCCACCGGGGTGAGAGGACTCCCAGCGCGGGACCAGTCACCAGAAACACTATAAGGTGATGACACCATCTCAGGAGATTCAGGATGACAGCATCGGCCCAGGAAGCGTGGAGTATAGGGAGGGCGAAGGGGGAAGGCACCGCCTTCCGAAGGCCTGACGCTATTCCCACCTAGAAGTTAATCACCTCGGAAAGGAGGGTGGGACAGGGCGAACCCTGACAAGCTTGTGGAAGGATGAGACCAAAAATACTTTTATGTGCCATACCAAGTTTTCTTTGCTTTCTCACGTCTTATTGTGCAATTACAAGCTATTGTATATTCAATGTTGTTTTGTATTAGTTTCCAGCGTGCATGGTGGTGGGTAGACAACCCAACACTTTACACAGTGGTCCCCCAATATTTCAGGTGTGCACCTGACACCATACACAGTTGTAGACAGCGCCTGGGAAGGCACATGAGCATTTTTTAAATTATTATCAGCTGAATCCAGTGGTGATGGCAGAACCACATCCTGGAAACACACCTTACCAGAGGCAGGTATGTTGTCAGCTTGACCTTCAGTTCAGGTGCCAGGGGGTGAGTTTCATTATCTAAATCCAGCCAAGCGCCAGGAATAAACACGATTATCTGGGCCCACCCAGAAGTGACCATTACAAAAAAGCCACAAGAATGCACATAATCTCCTTTGTCTTGGGCTTTAGTAAAACTCCTGGTTTTTGCTGTGAAAAATAGACGGTTGTTTAGGCTCTGGGTTCCTGTCTCTCCACCAGAGGACAGTGGTCCCACCCAGTCCCAGCTTTCTCTGCTGTATTTGTGTCTGTCTCTTTCATTTTCTCAATTCCCCTACCGCCCCCACTCAGAAACCGGACCGCTCTCTAGCCACGCTGTATGCAGAGAAGGGAGAAGCGTTTGTGTATAGTTATCGCGGAGCTTTTTCCTACTTCTGACTGTGGTATAGGTCCTCTTACAACCCTTTCAAATCTCAACTCGTAGCACCATTCTTCTTTTTCTGGAAGATCGTCTTTCCTACGTCCTGTAAGCGCCATGCTACCCAAGCAGCTCTTTATAGTGTGCGAGAGGGTTAACCCCTGTGATGACTAAGTGCTTGCAAGGGGTATTGCTATGTCAATGCAAAAAGTTATTGCCACTACATCTCTTTAAACCTAGAAAGTTCCGTCTCTCTTTCAGAACCACTAGGGAAGATGGCTCCAGACACTGGGTGCTTTTGTATAAAAGCGAACAGTACTTGTATTTTCTACTTGCCATGATGACTCGACCCCCTTTGTCTCGGCTCTATGGCCCAGGACTGAGCAATTAAAATTTCCCAGAGTCCCTTCTCCGTCACTTTGAACAAAGCCCTCACCAGCGTCTGTCCCTGATTCCCGG